CCCCCAGCGTCGGTCAGTCAGCACTACTAAGCCCCCTCCTTACCTTTACGTCCAGCAGCTGTGCTCCACTGCTGCTCTGTTAAAAAAAGCTCAGTCAATGTAAAAAAAAAACGTGCTCAGGAAGGTACCAAGTGCACAGGGGGGGGGGGCCGCGACCTTAAAAACTACACTGCAAATTATACATTAAACTGAAATAAAACAATCTAGCTTGGAGCCCAGACCTCCTCACACAAGTATCGGCCATACCCCCCTGATGGCGGTCCTGGCTGGGGACTCGGATCGTGACCCCCCTGTTCACTTGCGGGACCCCATATGGGGTCGCGACCCACACTTTAAGAAGCACTGCTTTAGAGCACCTGCAGTCTGTAGAATGCACTGGAACTAATTCTCGCTACACCAGACAAGGAAGCATGGGCCTCACTTAGACTGATAAATCTGTACAGCACAAATGCATACTGAAGAACAATATGATAATGCGCTAGAATTTAGAAAAGAATGATTTATTTTATTATTATAAAATATTTTGTCCCTGACGAAGGGTTCATAAAAAGTTATCAAGTATTCGGCTTCAGATTTATATTCAGAATCATAACCTTTATCCACTGGAAAACCGCCGGAAGCCTCGTTCATGTTAAGGTCTAAACCTGGCTGAGCGCCACAAGGAAGAAGTGATGGGTTGCATGTGGCCCAGTTTGCCATGTCTGTCCTATACCATGTGTCTGTTATTATACACCGTAACTGAAATGGTGCCCATGTACTGTACCATCTAAAAGGGCCCATGTACTGTAGTAATAAACACAATGCTGCGAAGGTGAAGAGTAGGGGGAGCGGATGCTGTACTTCATTATGGTTAAATAGTGTCAGCATTGGCAGATCGTTGAGTGGAAGAGTAAGATATGATGGGCTCATCTCACTACAACACCATTCCCTTCCACAATAGAGCTTTTCTGCAACATTGATTTTTTGGTATCGGAAGAGGTTTCCCAATGGTGGAAGAGTAATATGGAATGCTGTGCTTAATATCACCTTTCCTGAATACCCTAAAACCATCTAAATGAAAGGTTCTGCATACCTTCCACACTGTCCTCCCCAAGACTACAACTACACTTTATGGGCCGGTGCCAACCTGGGTGAACCGGGACGCGTGTCCCAGGACTGCGCAATCGTGCACAATGGCACATAGTGATTGCCATGCGGCCCCATTGATTTCATGTACCTTTTTTGCGACACACGACATGCCTTGTTCTATCTGATTGCACGGGCGGGAAACTGTGCGATCCGCCAAGCGCGACTGAGGGGCCATTAGAAAATAATGGCACCACCAGCGCGGTTGGCAGTGATGGGCGACTCCATGACCACACGGCAATCCGCATGGTATGTTGCACAGTCACGGATTGTCCAGGTGTGAACTTGGCCTAAGGGCTTATGCATAGGGGCCTGTTCCAATACTTCTATCTGCACCGGATCTTCGTGCCGGAAGCTGAGCATTTTAGCACATGTTTACACACATACAGTATGTGGAGGCGTTTGTATGTAATTATATTGGCTGGAAAACTCATGTTTTGCAGGCACTAAAATTAATTCACGCTTGTGCGTAAATTATGCCATTTAAGCTCCTCTCCAAACGCAAGTTTTGGGTATTTTTTTATGCCCCTGAATGCTGCTCTTATATAAATACTGTATACTAACAATTAAAACGTCACAATGTGCATGGGCACGTTGGCGAAAATAAAGCCGGGTATCAGAAGCATAACAAATATGAAAAATGCCTTTTGAAAGTGATCATTTTTAGCCCATGTGCATAAGGCCAAAGGGTCTGGAACTCACTGCCGCAGGCAGTGATTTCAGTAAATAATGTGGAATTGTTCAAGAAACTTTTGGACGATTTCTTAAGGGACCGTAATATACAGGGGTACAAGTACTCCTAGAATGAGATCCTAATAGGTTGGACTTGATGGACTAACGTCTTTATTCAACCTCAAATAGTATGTAATTATGTAATTGGTCACTTTGCACATGCTAATCCAATGTAACTTCTTCATATTTCCTGTAAAGTATCCCTGCAATTGTTTGTCTGATGTTTGGAGTGAAATGGCCTGTCACTACTGATTTTTAATTTCTCCCCAGAAATGTATCGACATCCTTATAGAAAAAGAGTATCTGGAGCGCGTGGATGGAGAAAAGGACACGTACAGTTATCTGGCTTGAATAAGAAAAAAGAAAATTTTATACATATTATTTAGAAATTGCCTGATTGGATAAATGTCATTTGTGTGACACTCAGCAGATAGTGAAAGTGATATGATGGAAAGAATGGTGACACGGAGGAACTTCATAGGAGCTGAATTGCTGCCACTTGGTCCGACTCTTTTTAAGAACCCAGAAACAGGACTCCCAAACGCCAGCCAGGGGACTGCCACCATTTCAAGCATGTAAATATGGATATATGGACACCTAAGCCCTTTTAATTTAAGAACTGAGGGGAGCCTGTACCCAAACTGATGTTTGCATGCTACCACCTCCCTCCTTTTAAATCAGTCCAATTTTGCTGTACAGGCACCAGATGTCAATGAAGCTAGTTCTAAATATATTGGCAGCACAATGACATAGAGTATGACATGGACCTAATGTAATCTGCTATGAAATCCCATTTGTATAGTGTGTTTCATTTTTTTAATGTGTGAAAATAAAACAGAAAAAAAAATATTCAAACATTTATGTACACGTTGTGTTCAGATATTAACCCCCTTTGGAATGTGATCATCCTACGGAGACGCTCTTCTGGTAAGAAAATATAAAATGTTAATGACATTGTTCCACAATGGCAAGATGCGTGAGCCCTAACCCATGTGAGAGATTCCTATAGAGGGATGGGAGGATATGCACTGTACGGCCAAATGTTTGTGGACATCTGCCCACACTTACAGTATATAAGCTTGTTGGACATCCTATTCCAAAACCATGGGCACTAATATGGAGTTGGCCTTCTCTTTTGGGTCTTTAACCGCTCACCTGGGAAGGCTTTCCACAAGAGTCTGGAGTGTATGTGGCAATTTGTGCCCATTCAGCCAACAGACCATTTGTCAGGTCAGGAACTGATGTTGGCTCAGTCAGCTTTTCCATTCATAGGCAAGGTGTTCCATAGGGTTAAGGTCTGGGCTGTGTGCAGGTCATTCTAGTTCCTCCACACCAAACCATGTCTTTATAGAGCTGGCTTTATGGACACCGGTGAAGTTATTCTAAAACAGAAAAGGGCCTTCCCCAATATATTCCCCCAGTGCACAATTGTCTAAAATGTATTTTGTATGTTGTAGCATTAACAGTCCACTTTAATGGAAACACCTTAACGTAATAATTGGGAACCTGGTCCAAAAACCTTTCACCAACTACAAACAGTAGTAAATGGCCTTATAGGATTCAATAAGACTGTATTTTAACTACTGGGAGTAAAAGGGGCAGGTGTTGGCTGCATGCATATATATGTTAATCCAAACAGCTACATGTGTACAAGACCCAGTATGCACCTCACCAAATGCAGTCTGTGCTTAAGGAGGCGCATACAGCCCTGTATGTATGTAGCCACTCCGATTCACGTATATATGCGTGCAGCCTCTGCCTGCTATTGATTTGCACAGGCTGGTGGCGGCTGTATGCTGCACCTATGAAAATATGGCAGTATTGTATGCTATATCGCCATTTATTGCCATGTGCATGAGCCCTTCTAGTGTATTATGTCTGTGGTGTGTGAGTAGACTGTTGAAGGTCCTACCTTTCAGTTCATTCCAGTGTAATGATGCCACCTACTGGAAATATTGATGAAACGACAGCTGGTAATTAGCTTCTTTGTCATCTTTCATCTTTGTCTTTTTCATCTTGTAACACAAACACAGCATTGTTTAAGTATTATACAAAGTCTGCATATGTACCAAGATGACATTGCATGGGGATATACACTGAGTGGCCAGATTATTATGACCACCCCATTAGTACTTCGTTGGGCCACCTTTTGCTTCAATACTGCAGTGATTCTTCTTGGCATTGACTCCATGAGATTTTGAAAGGTGATGCAAGGAATCTGACACCATGCCTGATGAATAGCACTGTCCAGTTCTGTGAGATTTGATGGTTGTGGAACCAGCTGCCTGATGGCTCTTTCAACTACGTCCCACAAATGCTCAATTGGATTGAGATCTGGTGATTGTGGGGGCCACCTAAGCAAGGTAAATTCTCCCTCATGTTCTTGAAACCACTCCTGCACAATACGAGCACCGTGGCATGGCGCATTGTCTTGTTGGAAGAAGCCATCTCCATTGGGATACGCCATCAACATGATAGGATGAACTTGATCAGCAACGATACTTTGGTGTGTTGTGCTATTCAGACGTTGTTCCACACAAATTATAGGGCCCAAATCATGCCAGGAAAACATGCCCCAAACTATAACACTGCCCCCACCAGCTTGAAGGGTTGTACTCATGCATGTGGGGTGCATGCTTTCATGCTGTTTCTGACAAATTCTCACTCTGCCACCTGCATGATGCAACTGGAAACGTGATTCATCGGACCACATTGCTTTTTTCCCAATGCGCGACTGTCCAATCCTTGTGTTCCTGTGCGAATTGGAGACGTTTTATCTTGTTAACTGCAGACAGCAAAGGTGTTCGAACAGGCCTTCGGCTTCCATATCCCATACGATGCAGTGTACGGCGAACAGTGCGTTCAGAGATCATTTGAGAGGATCCCTGATTAAGATCTGCAGTAATTTGATGCACTGTTGCCCTTCTGTTGTCTTGTACCAGTCTTGCCACTCTCCGTTCTGCCCTAACATTGACTAGTCGCTGACGGCCACAATTCGCACGTTCAGACCCAGATTTTCGGCTGACAGTCCAGTCTTTAAACACTTTAACAACAGCCCCTCTTGAACATTTAACTAATTCTGCTGTTTTGCTGATACTCGCTCCATGGCTCCAAACGCCAACAATCATCCCACGTTCAAAGGCTGTTAAATCGTGTTGTTTACCCATATCTTCAGAAAAAAATCACTTCTACTGTTGTGGTAAACAACCTGCTTCCCTATTTATAATGGTCTGGCCCTCTAGCAACTTCAGCGCCAAATTACAGCTAACTTGCCTACAAACGTCAGGTGGTCATAATAATCTGGCCACTCAGTGCATACATACTGTGTATTTATATTATAGACCGTATTTGGAGGTTTACATAAATAGAATTTTGACTTGCCTGTAAATTCCTTATCTTGGAGTACAGGACACAAATGGAAGAAACTGGTGCCCTGTACTCTACTCCAAGGAATTTACAGACAATATTCCTAAAGTCCTAATCATGTTACAGGACATAGGGCTTTCAGTAATAGATCATGGGACATCCAAAAGTAGTCGATTGAGGGGAGGGCAAACACCAACATGCACAGCTTCCCTGTTTTATAATGGTCTGGCCCTCTAGCAACTTCAGCGCAAAATTATAGCTAATTTGCCTACAAACGTCAGGTGGTCATAATAATCTGGCCACTCAGTGTATATATCTCCAAGGAAATCTGTAATGGCACATAAAGGGGGTGCCATAGACTGTTCCCTAGTGCCTTTCAGTGTTTTCTGAATCACTGACCCGGGACAAGTTTGCAGGTTAGGATAGTCAGAAGTCCCAACCTGCATGCTTGTTCAACATTACAGTTTTCATAGTATTGAACGGAGATAACTTGCATGATTGCAAAGCAACTACAAAAAATTCAGACGTAAAGGTTAGCAGTAGCAGCCTCCATGTTTTATCCCGTTTTCTTTAACAGGACTGTGTTGAGTCATAGAACATTTTGTGTGGGTTCCGTAATCTAATTAGCAGATGTGACTTTTATACGTAAAACATGTATTTACCTCATGTTTAAATGTGGTGTGGTTTCCCTCCTTTTTTATTTTACTTTGGCTGTGTGCTTTTAGACTCCTGTTTGGCTAAATGCCTTTTATGTGTGGAGTTTGATTTTATTTAAATTTCCAGTTTCTTTTAGAGGTCGGGGACTTCGATTTGGATGACGCACTTGTTTTTATCTACTGCACATGCACATTCAATTTTTCCTTGTTTCCTCAGAGTGATGTAGTGCATTTCTATTAGGGGTGAAGGAGGACAAAGCGGTTTCAACTTTGCTTCCTTTGTTTCTTATTTGCCCTCAATTTCATGACGCTTATTGGAGAGAACAGAGAGATCCTGTTTTATACTATTACACAGACATTCTTTGATTATTCTACTGTCTGCAGATATTGCGGTACCTCATATTTTCTCCTCACACCGGTCATGAGTACGATTGTGTCTGACACTGTCCGAGACAGAATTGTCAGAACAGACTGTCATTAGCAGGGCTCTGTTTGAAAGTCATGTTTTCCTTTCCTTCTGTGTCATACTAGTTGTTATTCAGAAACTTGTGATTCACATTGGTGTCGCTGATGTTTCTGGTTCTTCTAGACACAGGTGGCCTGTATATTGCAAGGCATCTGAGGTGTTGCTATGGTGATCTATGCTTGTATATGTACTTCACAGGTTGGCCACATGGGGACGCTCTCCTCTTTTTATTTTTGCTCAGGCTTAGAGGGAAAAACGGTAACTGTTTATTTCACTCCTCCTGCTCCCTGGATACTGATGACTTTGTTTTTACTCAGTAAGGAGCAGCAGCACTTGTGATAGTTCTACAGTGGCCAGACACTGGGGGGCACACTCTTTCCTTCCTTGATTAAAGAACATAGCACATAGAATCAGCTCATGAATACAATACATCTAATGTATGCTTGTCATAAACACTATGCCATATCATTGATGCAGTAGCTGGGCTGTGACAGATTTACTTGGCATTAGAAAGTAGTGGCTGCCTTCTTTAACTGCCGTCCGCCCGTTGCACTGGCTGGTGGACCTACACATATGTGATTTTATTTTTTTTCCCAGCAAAATTCTTTTGACAGCCAGTAACGGCTGTGACATACAAGAATTGTATCGCTTGTATGATGAGAAACGATCTCTGCGCCGCCACTGCCGGTTATCCCAGGCTCCGCTGTCCCCCCTGCGGAACCGGGATCGGCAAAACGGCTCCTTACACCATGAACGGAGGAGAAATCAGCATCACCTCCGCCTTTACCTGCCATTTGTATGGCTGCTATAGCCAGGGAAGAAGCTGGAGAAGCAGATCTCTGCTTCATCAGCTTCTTTGGGGGTCCCTAGGTAACGGGTGTCTTAGAGACCCCTAATGCCTCCATAAATAGGACCTGGCACTGTATGGGGGCTTAGCCTACCACAATACAAAAGAAGCATGCTGTGAACACACCAGGGATGTCACATCACAGAGGTATGAACGGAGGCTGAGTGCTCAGAAACAAACTGAAATCCAAATTAGAGCCTTTGTTGTGATCTTTGAGAATTACTTCAGTGTATGTAGCTAGAGCGGTGAGTGAAGGCTTGTTTTAAATTTTGTTTGTACTTAAGAACATGTAAAAATAGGATTTTGTCCTTACCGGAAATTCCTTTTCTTAAAATCCATTGAGGGACACAGCTCTGAAGAATTAAGAGACTTAGGTTAATGCTGCTGCCCCCAGGTAAAATGGACACTAGGCCAAAATCGTATAAGTCTGTCACTTAAGGATATAACCCCTCCCACCTGCCAGTTGTAGCAAGCAGTATGA